AGGAATTTGCATCTTGGGTGGGATTTGTCGATATACTACCTATATGTAGGTAGGGAGGCCGGGGACGGCCTACTTATACAGGATTAGCTAACACGGCCTGCCACTAATTTCGATAAAGATGACCGACTACCTGCCTGCCTCACGGCTCTTCCCGCGAGACCAGAGTTGCCAGACCGACTTGATAACCCAATACGGTCGGCTACAGGGGCTATTCGGTTGGCTTCCTGAGGCTCGACTTGCAAGCGGCGCGGAGTAGAGACTCGTTTAACGAGATTAAAGGCCGACAATGGTCTCGCGAGCTGGCGAAGGCGGCGTCATCCTTCACAGACAGATGACTCGAAAACGGTCTCGCTAAGTCTCTGTACTGTAGGCGAAGTTCAGAATTCAGAATCCAGCATTCAGCTGGGCGTTCAGGGCCGGTACTGGGTGGCTTTGGCATTGGGGAGGAGTGTGAAATGACGTGAGGAAGAAGAGTGGCTTGGTGGCGTGTTCGTGTCATCAGTTCGCCTACTATTGATATATGGACGAATCATGGAGCATGCCGAGGAGAGATTCAGAGGCGCCGGTTCTCTGGGACACAATTAGTGCCATCTGTGCCTAGATCTAGGTACAGTACATTGCTTACCTACATGTACTCTATATACCCCGTACCTACCTCCTATCTACTGCACATAATAGGTGGCACAGCCGTCATCAGAATCACCTGCCCCGCAATTTGGTCGTGTAGCTCTCCTAAAAATAGGCTACAACACCCACTGCCAAGTTAAGTAGGTAATTATTGAGCAAAGCCGGGGTAGAACCTCAGACGGGGCAAACTTCTCGTCAGTCCACCCAAACCTTCTACATTTAGTGTTGATTTGCTTGGCATGGTTTATTATTATTATCTGGTACGATAATCATTCATACAAATTCATATTAGGTAGGTGCTTCTATGCTACGGCGGTACATACTGTAGGTGTTGTAATTAGTACAGTACACTACGACAATATAGGGCACCTACTGTAGGTAGTAGTTGCTGGTGCTAGCGGGGGCCTAGTCGCTGTAAGTGGTTGCTTGCCGTGAGTTAGACTGAATATACCTAAATCCAACAACAGCTTACTTACGATGGGGTTTGAAGGCCGGTCGATTGTTGGCGACCATTTCCATATCTGCCTCGGGATATTAATCAATATACCCAGCCTGTCATCAGGCCACAGTAAGATTCTACAAATCACTGATTAAATTGAGATCTGATTGTTCTTGAGCCGCAAACAACGTGTCCATGTGGACCAAGCATTGAATTGATCGGAAATATGACGGTTAGATTGGCCATCAATGCTGTCTCGTGTTGACATAAGCAATCGTCAGTTGGCTACTCTGTAGTATACAAATCATTACTGTTCTTGTCGTGAACTCGATGGCAGTAGATGTTCATCCGGAACAACCCAGCCCCACGTCGCCGGCATGGCCCGTGATTCGTAGGATACGCGGGTAGTGCCAGTACTGGACGTGGTTGTTGCTGGGTACAGTACACATCAGGTTGGGGTTGGGGCCGGCTATTCGCTTCGTGGCCTGCTCGTCGGGGTGACAGCACATGGGGAGTAGTAAGACTCGAAGAATGATGTGACTGTGATTGAAGGCTACTGCCTAATTGATCGCTGGCCTTTCAAATAGGAAATGATGCCATCACCTATGTCTCGTTTGCATTTGGAGTAGCCATCGTATCGAGTTCTGCTATGTCGCAGCTCAACTCCGACTTCGACTCGCTCGCTCGCGAAGGCGTTCGTTCGTTTGTCGGGTCCAACAACAGCCTGGTTTTTTCTTCGCTGCACTCGTGCGGCGTAGCGATATTATAGTCTTGTGCAGCGTATATCTATCTATACCACGACGCTTATGGGATACGGAATTCTCCGACGACAGTGGCGCGCAGATTAAGGACCCGTCTAATCCTCCCCGCCTACTGCTGTTGTTGGGTTCTTCTGATTGGGTCTGTAAGCAACTGTGCCGTATTGCTAGATCTGTAACTCTTGAAGCCATCGTTATTAATAGACTTACCTAAGCCGCAATGCACATCGTTCATGCCTCGTGGATTGCCAGCACAGGCTCTGGGCAGCCGAGAAAGGTCTCACTAGAACACTTTCGCCGTAGTTGATCTATTCCAGTGCGTTGCCTCATCTCTACAGCTCGCTTTTGTTTTTTCAAATCCTTCGCTTGGCAAGTTGTCTCTGACAATCAGGGCCGTTGGTTTTTCAAATATCCCCTTCTGGCTTTGAGGTGGCAAGCCACGATACGGCGCATTTGTGTGCCATCTGGACTAATCTCCCTATTTGGCATGTCAGGGATACCAAACCGTGGGACATCCAAGCCCTATTCGAAGCCATCTTCCCAGTCAGCATACCTAGTTTAGACAATGAGGACAACTACTGTACAGACGTCGAAATGAATATATATACGTTCGGTCGGGCTCACGATGTCAGCTCAGTCCTCACCACCACCTACGTGTTTTACTTTCTTCTCCAACCCCCTTGATTCTGTCTTCGCTTCTGTCTGCTTCGTCTGTACATTTCCTCGCCGTTCAAAATGAAGTTCCTCTCCACCGTCGCTTCACTGGCGCTTGCCGTCACCGCCAGCTGCACGCCCGGCCACTACCCAACTCACAAGCTCCCTACCACCACGCTCTACGGTGTTGAGGTTGTCGACACTCAGATTGTCCGTGATGCCAGGAATGTTATCAAGAACTTCACTCCCTATCTGCACAAGCACTCCCTGCGAACCTGGCTCCTTGGTGCCGCGGCCATCAATGCCAACAAGACCCTCAAGGCCAGCCTTGACTTGGAGCTTCACGCCGTCAGCACCATCCTCCACGACCTTGGCTGGGACAGTAAGAACTTCCGCAAGTCACATTGACGAATCATGTAGAAACTAATCAAGAACACTGTAGTGACCCCCGGCTCTCCCTGGATTTCTCCGTAAGTAACCCAACCGGGCCATATCTTCCTCAGCCGCGCGGCATGCTAACTCGACGAACAACAGTGACATGCGATTCGAGGTCGACGGCGGTCTAGGTGCCGTCAAATTCATCAAGGGCCACAAGGACGCAAAGAACTGGGACCCGGTCCGGCTCGAAAAGGTGTATGACGGGATTTCCCTGCACGGCTCTCCCGGTATCCAGGTGGGCAAGAACCTCGATGTCCAATGGATCCTCCAGAGCATCAGCTTCGACAACCCGGGCGCCCGCAGCCCCCTGATCCCCGAGGCCCAGTTCAACAGCGTGCTCGCTGGTCTGCCTGCCAGCGACATCGGATTCGGTACCAACGAGACTTGGGTCTGGCTTGCTACCACCAAGCCCCAGAGCACCTACAACACCATCCTCGAGCCCTTCGGAACTGCTGTACGTAGTCGCCTCATCCTAGCCTCCACCTCACAATGAGGGTATACTGACATCCTTATTATAGTTTGCACCCGGCTACAACGCCGTCGGCCACCGTATCTTCGATCTCATCAACCCTGACTTCAAGGGCAAAAGCTGCAACTAAGGCGGTTTATTAGAGGAACTACTTGCGAAGGTGTCAGGTGTCACGGATTTGGGGATTGAGTTCGAAAGAAAATGTTACTTATTTCTCTTCTAGTATTATAGCTTATAATTTCCAATTGCATATAAACTTCAACATCATATTTGTCAAATGTCCGTCGCTTTTAACTGTTGTTGTAGATTGATCATGAAACCAGATGTACATAGCCAAATGCAAATTGCTAACCGATAGCTTTAGCAACCGAATGATCGAATTGCACCACGGACGTTTATTATTGTGAATAATACGGTTGGTGTTACAAATTGAAAACCCCATCGGTAATCGTTGAGCCCCAATCGAAGAGCCGGCTCGAGATATTTCCAGGCCAGTTATAGAAGGTTTACAGGTCCTTACTAATAAATTTCAACACCTAGATACAATCCGGCTATATACCGAAGGTTGTGCATATCAGATATTACAAGGCATACTTACGACAGAAAGACTTCTGTATATAGCTAGAGTAGCTCGACGAAGGTATTTTAGAGACCTTCGCACAACAACAAGTATATGTATATTTTACGCGTACAAGCATCCAGGCTCTAGCGCACCAGATATCATATAAATGATCATATAAGCGGCAAGCTACCGATTTGATCATACTTTTGCAATCCCGAGAACTAGCTGATTGTCTAAAATCAGTAGTTGCGGGATCGGCGTAGCCAGTGATCTAGATGAGACTATTCAGGCAAAAAGTCTGCAGTCGCCCGCCTAGTAGAAGGGAAAGCGAGAGGTGCACATGGTCCCCTCGCTACATAGAAGATTTTGCACAAATCCAAATGTTCTTTCAAGCCTCTGTTCCCAAGCCCTCGTCATATAGTATCACTACCTACCTCACGTACAGGACCCATGACATCAGATATATATAAATGACATTGAACGAATCCTAGAATATACTGGGAATAATGATTCTAATAATCAACAAGGCGAGGTATTCTTAGTATGTAGTGTCCTGGCAAAATTATTATTTCCGGTATTCTCAGCACTATCCACAAAACTACCATCAACTTTCATTCTGATCCTTCGTACTCGAACAGTGCCTTCAGACTCACTGCTTCATATGGAGCGGCTCAATCTGGCAGATGATTTAGCCGTTCATTCGATTTAGCTTCGCTTTGATGTCCGAACTCTATTGTGTTTGCTCGTCGGCTGGCAAGCGATAAGATACCGAAATCAGCAACGCTAACATAAAATGTACAACATGTTCCTTATTTAAAGTACACTATGAGCTATTGCCAAGGAAGGATGTTGGTCAGTTTTGACTCAGACCTCTATATGTATTATATAGAGAGAGTAAGAAATGAGAGGGCTTTTAACGGACAATTCGGGACTGGAATCCGACGCGCTGGTCGTTGCGCCACGGCTCCGTAAAGCAAAAGGAACCAAAAACAAAATAGAAAAAAATAAAACGTTTTAAAAAAAGTATCTCGTATCAGTACGAAACATTAAAAGTGAACCCAACCCGATTTGAACGGATGACCTTCTGGAGGCAGTTGAGGATTACTTTACTAGGTTAGAGTAGAATTACTCAGGATTTGTAAAGTCTCAAGCTGGAATCAGATGCTCTACCGCTGAGCTATGGATCCGATGTGTACAACTCGATTGCCAATTTAGAACATTCTAGCTCAAGTCCTTAGTGTAATTAGGCTTTTTAGCGTGTTCTCGGAAAAGGCGGTCAGAAGCGGCAGGTCTAGTGGACCCCGGTACCGGCACAATAAGTTAGCAGAGCACTCCCATATCGCATACCGACGAGTTGAATATAATATACATACGGTGTGTCCCCAGTGCAAGCCCAGATGTCGTAGATGTAAGACAGGGGAGATGACAAGATTTAACTACTTAGGACGCAGTTTCCACTATATTGCGTTCCTTCTTATCTTTTTCTCGGTACAACGGCGCGTTTTTCAGAGTAAGTCTCCCTCTGTCACGATCCTTGATCAAGAACAAAGGGCATGTGTGTATATAGACCGATATTGCGTAGCCTCACCAGATTAGAAGTCATTGCATACCCCCAACCACAGAGATCTTGACACCCTCAACTAGGATAGATCCAACTCCACGTCGCTTTTTTTCGATTTTTGAATTGTTATAGCTATCGCCTCGTAATACTAACTTCTAGGTCTTCGGCAATATCTCCCTTCTAGCGATTAATAATAGATATGACCATGATGCTACTATGGTAATCGGTTCACTTCCCCGAAGATATATGCCGGGAACCGAACTACGCTGCTATTGCATTACACTACTGCCAAAGCAGAGCGTTATTAGGGTAGGTACTGTCAGGATCTCTGTGGTAGGGGTATGTAACGACTTCTATTGTTGCGCAGGGGTTCTAATCTGGTGAGGCTACGCAATATCGGTCTATATACACACATGCCCTTTGTTCTCAATCAAGGATCGTGACAGGTACTCTAATGTCTACAGTTGCTTCTATGCTTATCATTAAGATCGTAACAATACGATACATCGCATGTGTTGATATATCATGGTATTAAACATAGTCCCGGTACCTAGAAAAGCATCATTGGAAAGACACGGTCACATTTTTGTCGATATTAAGCAACCAGGAAGCAGCAGCTCGCTTCGGGGCGAAGAAATCTGATAACAAGATGCCCACGAGCAATTAATACATAAGCCTGCCACCATGGACCAACTAAGCGTTGAGATCTATCGTGTGAGCTGAACAACAAGAAAACCGTTGTGACTAGACACGTGTACTTACACACGTATGTAGCCAACCCTATTCTGGATGGCTTGTTCTTGTCATATTATTCGGAAGAGGCAAGCCTTTCCTTCTGCTATTGTTTTGTTGCTGTCTAGGGGTTGAAAACGCAGAGATAGTGGGAGTTTACAATTATGAAATACACATGAATAGAACAGGACAGGGACATGATTTAGTTTCATTGATGACATTTCATGGAATTATGCATACGTAGGAGTGAGTAAATTATATCAATGAGAGCCCAGTCGTCTCGAGGATAAGCTTTTCTATAATACGGGTTTCACTTGATATGTTCATTAGGTTACTAACGAAATAATCCTAACAAAAGAGAAGTGCAAGATTGCAACTTCACAATCCCATGCCCAAGCTAGACGCGAGACGCTATGGCAACGAATGAGCTGGTTTGGTTTTGGATAATCGAAGAATACCAGGGGAAGGCTTGTTTGGTACCCATGTAGGCACCGGTTGCACCGGCTTCACTGGCTCGTCAAGAACATCGGGCTTCTTCAAACTCTTTCGAAAAGAGTCACCGAAGTTACGATGTTCGATCGAGAGCGCGTAGAAGCGTTTTATCTCTTTTGGACCAAACCTCCCCGTTTCGTCAGACTCGACCTTGCTCGCAAATTTGCCGACAAGTTGGTCCTTGTCTAAGAAGGGCAGGCCAATGATGATCTGAAGCAGCTCTTCGAAGTGATAGATCTGCATCTGGCCATCGAGAAAGGCAATATCGAGGCGCTTCAAGGCAACGTCAGTTACTTTCTCAATATATGAGACAGGCAACTCGTCAAGACAAGAGCGTTTCTCAGCTTCTTCAATGCTTTTCCGTGCATTTGTAGAGGCGCGGATCTTGTTTAATTTGGCTCGCTCGATCGCTTTGTCTCTGGCTTCTTTATTCGTGATTTTAACATTAAGTTTGTCAATGTAGCAAGCCGTGCATAACATATCATCAGAGGTATTGATAGTTCTTACCCTGCCGAAATCCCAGCAGTGACCATGAATGAGACATAGTGGATTTTTTGCGCCCGGCTTGCGATGACCTTGGCATCGAGTTCGCAAGCACGAGGCTGGGCCCAAGGCTCCACATGGCCACAACGATAAGAGATGTTGCAAATTACTTTACACATGTTCACAGCTTCAGGATAAGTTGGTGACTGGTGAGAGTAAGTGAGGTTAGGGGAAGGTGTGCGTGGCTCGACGTTGCAGGAGAAGCTTCTTAATTGAGCAATTTTTGCTGGTAGACTAGATACCTGGTAATAACGGATACCTGCACCAAATTTATATGCTATTCGATTCATACGGCCTAGAATGAGTCAAATAGGCAGTCAGCGGTCCACACAAGTCAAGTATTCCTTTGCTTGACTTGCAAATAACTTGACCAATTAAAGCAAAGCAACGATTTTAATTTACTTGCTATAGCAAAACAAAGATTTCTATTGCTTGCAAATACTTGTCAAGTTACTTGAGTAAGTATTTAAGTAATTTTGCAATTTTTTTTCTTTTTTTTATAAGGTATATTTAATAAGAAACTCGTATTGCAAGGCTCTGTTACAAACTCCTACCCAGCAGTAGCTGCCTAGTGCCCCCTGCTAATTTTAATACCTACTAATCCTAGCCTACCTAGCACTTAACTAACCTTTATTTTTAACCTCACTACTTAAAATTATACTAACTACTAAGACTTTTAATTATTAACCGCTTTATACGCTTTATATTTATTATTAATATTTTATTATATTTATTATTAATAGTTTTAAAACTATTAATTAATGTTTTTTTTAATATAGCGCAGCTATTTTTAGCCCGTTACTAAACTTAACATATATATATATTCGCGTTTTACGCTGTTCCAACTAAAAATACATATTTATTCGCGCTTACTACTGTTTTAACAACCTTTAAACTTTCTGCGTTGTTATAATTAAATATATAAAATTATTATTTTTAAACTTAGTATTTTTTTAACTTTTAAATTATTTATTTTTTAGCTACTCTTTTTTTTTATATTAATTTTAATAGTATAAATAAGTATTTTTTTTTTAAACTAATTTATTTTATAAGTACTTCTGCCTTTTTAAAATAACCCGCGTTTTATATTTTATATAAAAAAACTAATATATTTAAAATTAATATATTTTGTTTTTTCCGGTAAATTATTTTTTATTTTTTATTTATTTCTATTATTATATTAACTTAATTTTTTCTTATTTTTTTATTTTTTTTTTTTACTACTATTAACTACTTAGATTTTATTTATTTATAATACTACGGGTATTATATTTATTATTAAAAAGTAAATATATTTAAAACTAGTATATTTTAAGCTTTATATATATTTTTTTTTTTTTTTTTTTTTAATTTTTTAATAGTTTTTATATATTTTTCCCCTACTACTAAGCATTAATTATTACTACTAAATACCTATTTTCCGTTTATTTATATTACTATAAATATTATATATACTATTAAAAAGCTAATAGATTTAAAATTAATATATTTTACGTTTTTTTTTTATATAATTTTTTTTTTATTTTATTTATTATAATGTTTTTTACCTGCTTTTATTTATTTATATATATAAAACTAGTATCCAACTTTTTTTTTTATATTAAAATATAAATAAAAATTATTACTTTTAATTTTTATTATATTAAAACAAAAACGCAAGTTTTTACTTTATAAAATTACTAATATACTTACCAGCTATAACCTTTTTATACAGCGTTAATAATATTTTTTTAAAATATAATATATTATTATTTACAAGTAAATAGTATTTTTTTATATATATATACTAAAACTAAAAAATTAAACAATAATAAAACAAGCTATATTATACATAAACTTTTAAATTATATATTTAATAAACTAGTTTATTTACTAGCTATAACCTTTTTATATAGCGCTAATAATATTTTTTTAAAATATAATATATTATTACTTATAAATAAATAATACTTTTTTATATATATATATTAAAACTAAAAAATTAAGCAATAATAAAGCAGGTTATATTATGCGTAAGTTTTTAAACTATATATTTAATAAGCTAGTTTATTTACTAGCTATAACTTTTTTACACAGCGCTAATAACACTTCCTTAAGGTATAATATATTATTACTTACAGGTAAATAATACTTTTTTATATATATATACTAGAACTAAAAAATTAAACAATAATAAAACAAACTATATTATATTTAAACTAACTATTTTATATAAATTATTTTTTACTACTAAATTATTAACAGCGTTGTTTTTTACTGCTATATTAAATAGCTTAGTTATTACTAATAATATATCGCTTATTAAATTATTAGTTATACTTGCTAAGTTATACTATTAATTATATTAAAAAATTATACTTATAGCTATATTACTAGCTATTAGCACAGCTACTAACACAGCTACTAAATTATATTTATATTAATATTTTAAAAACAGCTTAACTAGTACTAACTAGTAATATAACACTTACTAAATTATATTATTATTATTAATTAATAGCTAGCACCCGGCACCTTAATTAAATAGCTAGGCTAGCTTTTAAATTTATGCTTAAAAATATTAAATAATAGTTTTAAAATATTAAAAGCTTTAATAAAGCATAGCAGGAGGCTGTTAAAAAAGGCAATAACCCAGTTATAATACTAGTTATAAGCACTTTTTAACTTTTTAATATTACCCAAGCTAATATTACCTTAAAGCAATATTTTTATATTAATAAAAAAACTACTTAAACTAAGTAGAATTAAATTTTTATATTATAAATTTATTTATTAAATTAAAATTAATATTTTTAACGCTTTTTTAATTATTAAAGCGATATTTTAAAACAAATAAACTAAAGAGATTATTAAGCCCTT